TTGCTCACGTGAGAAAGAATGTGAAAATTGGCTGTATGGATTTGGGATAACCTTTCCCCACTAAACAATTCCACTTCACACTTACACGTGGGCTTGAATTGGATGGTTGATGGGTTATATGACTAATCCCCATTAATGTATCTCAAGCAACCAATCTAAATGGCCACCTCAATCCCACATGGAGGGACTCATGTGGTAATTAACAAAGCCATCTCCTACAACCCACCTCACTTTGTTCATTCTACTGACACGTAGTCTAAGGTGGGATGGTAAAAATTAGTTTTCTCAAACAACCGCAATCCCCTTCCTACTATTTATACATGGTTTAAGAGAAAGATGAAGGGGGAGGTCGGGTTCTTTGTCTTTCTTATTTTATGTGTTACTCTTACACTTGTTTATTTGCTATATGTTATTTACACTAATCGGCCATCGTGCTGAATGTTGGTTGGGAGGTAAATGTATTATTTTTATGGTTTAATATACTTGTATATTCAAAACTTTCACGGTTGTGTCAATAATATCCAAATTTTTCAGAATACCACTTATATCCATGTTTTAAAGTTGTTCTTTGCCAAATATATCCATTTCCCAATATATTTTTGGTTAAATATACTTGTATATCCAAAAACACCGTTACAGAATGTGAAGGAACTGGATATAAGTGGTATTTCGGGAAATTTGGATATTATTGGCACAACCGTGAAAGTTTTGGATATACAAGTGTATTTAACCTATTTTTATTTTATTCTTCACACGCCACCCACGCCAGAAGCAGGAGACGCCTATAAATAGGTAGCTCATTTTTGTTTTCTCGGCAATCCATCTCAAATCTAGAAAACTCACTTTCTCTGAACGAGATCAGAAAATGGGAATTCCCGACGAACTTCTTCTCGGCGAATTGGCAACTTCCAACCCCGAAATTTCTTTTTCTTTCTCCCTAGAGCCGGCTCAATATGCCGCTCCCGGTTATTTTCAAATACTGATTTGAGCTTTGGAGAAGGTCCCAGCCGACCACAACCGGCGAGTCCTTTTTTGCAGGTGTTCATCTCGAGAGCTGGAATTCAACGGCAACCAAAAGGTCAACGCTCTCCGGACTCTACAACGTTCGAGGTCGGCTATTTTAGCTTGGCATCAACAAAGTTAGTATGAAAAATTCTCTTTTCTTATTCTGCAACCCTAAACCTGACTTCCAAATACAACCAACTCCGAAACTAACAAAGCCACCACTCTCTAAACCTTCATTGGAATTTTCTTAAGGATTTTCATAGAGCAAGCCCCGACAAATTATTTTTTCGGCGCTCTTTAGGTCCTGACCCAGAAGCCCAATTTCTCTTTGTGGTATCTACTTTCTCGTACTTTACCAATTTCAACATAGATTGAAACTCTACCTTCCTCGTTTATCAACTTACTATACGACTATACCTATCTTTGTTCCCGATAAGCAAGAAAAAGGAAGCCACGCGGGAGACCCAATGTAGAGAATCGTATTAGGGCTACCTTTCCTCCCCAGTTTTATTATGAAATTTTTGTCCAAGGATTGAAATTTGGAAAAAGGGGACGCATTAGTGAAAATTATAAAGTAGAAAGGCTGCGTTTCATTTTCTCCTGGAAGTCTCTCCCAGCACTCTAATATCATAGACTTTTTGCTATAGAAAAGTGAAAAGGAAAGAAATGGGCCTGTTGGATAGAGAAGCATATCCGATCTTGTTGGGATATTCTCTAGTATTGGCTCATCATCATCCAACCCTCCTGCTACCTTGTGCATTTGTTTTGTCCAGTGCTTTGGTGACTTCCAGAGTTAACTTAAGGTGGTGTAAAATGTTGATGCCGATAAATTTTTAAACCAACGGTTCCTACTCCTTCGAAATTACCTGGACAACTAAGATGTTTCTCATTGCATAAGATTATTGTTTAATGGCGTTTGACGGGGTGTCTTCGGAGGTATCCAAAAAGTCATATACTACATGCCAAGAAAGACTCAAATTCTTAGAGGTCTTGCAAAATTCTAAAAACCAGAACCAAAAAATAGTTGCATCATTCTGACTAGTTTGAGAGAGTATAAAGGAGGATTGAATATTGAGGATGAAACTTTAATGTATGTAATGAAGTAGTGGGTAAAGATGGAGAATCCTCAACCCTCACTTGTTGTAAGACCAACTCCAACCCATTCACCTAAATTGAGGCTCGAAAATTTGAGTCCTCTTTAAAAAAGGAAGCAGGATCACCACCATGGAGTCCTTTGCTTTTCACACATTTTCTTAAGAGTCACCCAGTGCACACGTGAAGTGTCTAAACCTCCTTAGTTGGCAAGGTCCACATCTGAGAGTGTGTTTTGGCACAAAAAGATGGAAGTAAAGTTAACCCGACTTCAACTGTTTTTGAGGTGCCACCGATGATTGGTAGTACACACCATTGTGATTGTCTTGCAAGTTGTACTGGTTTGAATAGATTTGCTTGGGGACAAACAAATGCTCAAGTGTGGAGGAGTTCGATTCGGGATAAATTGTACACTTTTATACCCCTTGTCTTGTGCCGTTTGACTTGTTTAGTACCGTATTTGGAGCCATTTTACACTATGTTTGGTCTTGTTTTGGCATGTTTAAGAGTTAAGACTTTAGCAGGTAGAATGGGTGAGAGGATCAAAAAGGGATCAAAACGAAGGAAAGTGCAAGGATCACAGTTTGGCGGGAAGATCATGGGCAGGAGCATGTTCTAGGAGCCTGAAGATTGCAAAGTTCCAGGAGCATGTTGAAGCCTCGCGAGCATTGCAAGGATCACTATCCCAGACCGTGAAGTTAGCAGAGAAACCATTAAGTGTATTAATGAAACGACGCACTTTGCGCTGAGATCACGATTTTGTTACACACTTCACGGGGGTGATGTGCACCCTTGAAATATGCACTCACAAGCTATATAAAGGAGAGTGAACAGAATTTCAAGGGGGAGTTCTACAGAGAGAATTTGGTGTTCTTCTTCCACAATCTAGAGAGAGCTATGAGCAAAGGATAATTGATGGTGGATTTGACCTACCAAGCCATTTGCTGACTAGATTTCATCTCCAAGCATCCTTCCGAGCAACTAGGAAGAAGGAGAACCAAGTTTCCATGGGTTTTTCCTCTTTTACTGATTGTTGTTCTTTCTCTAGCTATGGAGTAGTTTCTCTATTCACTAGGATAATGTATACCCTAGTCTAGAATGTTGTAGATTGATGTTTGTGAACCTTTTGTGTTGATGGGTATTGTTGATTACATATTGATTGAGGTATCTTCATGCAAATTGAATGTTCTGGATCAAATTCCTCAATTTTGTGGCAAATTGACCTAGGAGGGAGAAGATCTCCTTATGGCAATTAGGGTCACTACTCAATCAACATAGAGTGTCATGAATCACTATGATTGGTAACTATGTCGTTCCGGGTTGATCTCCAAGGGAGTGGAATTGGTTGCCTTAGTCTTCTTTTTCTGCAATATGTTACCCCCCCTCCCCTCCGATTAGACCGATTAAGCGGGCTAGGATGCACTCGAATAGAGGGTCCTAGCTATTTTAGATCTTATAACGGTATATGAACTTGTCTATCGTACTAGAGTATCACATTTTCATCTCGACACGGGACTAGGGGGATAATCATATGAGTGAAGTTTTCTCACTTGAATTAAACGTCATTTTATTTGTTTGCTTGTTTAGTTAAATAGCTTTAAACAACGTTTCGATTGCTAGATACTTTGTAAATTGTTGAAGTAAGGATATATATAGATCGCCCGGGTTTGATCATTGAAATACTTGCTCTATATTGCACCTAGTTATAGGTTATACTTGGCCTATGATTGAGATTTAGTAGTTAGTAGTGAGCCAGGTCTCAAGGGGAGTGGATTGTTGAGGGTACCACTAGTGCTTAACAAGAAGTTTAGTATTTTGTTATGTTAGTTCGATTAGAGTTTCGAGTGAGAGTCTATATAATGTACTTGAGTCCTAGCGTTAGGGAAATCAATGAAACCTATAAAAAACATCGCCAATTATCCCTCATGTCTCTAATTTTTTCCAAAAACCTTAATTCCCAACTCTAAATCACCCGGTTCTGCCCAATTCTCATCTCAACCAATCTAATTTTTTTCTTCTAAACTCTATCTTATTACGTCAATCTGGGACCCAAGATCCGTACCTACAACACTAAACAATCAAGAATTTTGATCAAAGTTAAAAGAGTAAATTCTCATTTGCTAATTGCCAAACTTTTACTGAAAAGAAAATTTGGGAAACCTTTGATGTTATGATGCCACACACACAGCGCCATCTCCACTTAGCTTCAGTTTCATTTTGAAAGAAGAAAGTAGCAGAGCATTGCAGCAAACCTTTCAAAAAGGAAAACAGGATCAATCAATCCCATCAATTCAAATCATTCTACCTCTCTTTCCGTTTTCATTCCCCCGTTCTTATCCGATCCACAATAACGTAAAGAGGAACGGTGCGAACCTCTCTCACTGCAAAATATAATTTTTTTCGCCAATTCCTTAACTCTGCCTCATCGTCTCGTCTCTTCCAGGGCCGGAGTCGCAGCAGGTCAGGTCAGTCGGTCGTCAATCTTTCTGCTTGTCTCCGCGATGTTCTTTGATTATATTCCTCCATTTTGTTCTCGTAGAGCATTGTGATCTGTGCCTCAGTTCGATCTTCTGATTGACGAACGACTTACAATGCAGAAATCCTCCGAGTTCCCCAGTTCGCGTTCTACGGGAGGAAATCATCTGTTCTTCTTTCTTTTCTTGATTACGGAGGATTTCTCACTGGCTTTCCGCTTTCCCGTCTGTTCTTCACAAATCAAATCTTGTCAATAGCACAGCCATGGCTGGTTTCAGGTTTTCGTTTGTATTAATTAATTCATTGATTTATTGGTGATATTCTATTCGCATCACAAGTTGATTCAGTGACTGATGTCGGTGTGGAAAACTTGGCGCAGGAATCTCTAAAATCGAGGAGTGAAGAATTGTAGATTTTCTATCGAAGAGATGATGTCGAGATCGTACACGAATTTACTGGACCTGGCCAAGGGGAATTTTCAGAACATCAATCCTGAGAGGAAGGGATTGTCGAGGGTTATGAGCGTTCCTGGCAAGTTCTCGGACATGGAAGACGACGATGAGCCCGCTTCCTCTGATAATCCCTCCACATTGTCTGTGGACAGGATGATCATCGTCTCGAACCAGCTCCCCGTGAAGGCTGTCAGGAATCCTGATGACCAAGGCTGGAGTTTCGCCTGGAACGAGGATTCCCTGGTTCTGCAGCTCAAGGATGGTTTCTCTGAAGACATGGAGGTTTTCTATGTCGGTTCTTTGAATGTCGAAGTCGATTCCAAGGACCAGGATGAAGTATCTCAGGTTCTGCTAGACAGGTTCAAGTGTGTGCCGACATTCCTCCCGCGCGACATTTACACCAAGTTCTATGATGGGTTCTGCAAGAAGCAGCTCTGGCCACTCTTCCATTACATGCTGCCTCCTGTTGAGGAAGGCAGCAGATTCGACAGGTCCTTGTGGGAGGCTTACGTAGCAGCAAACAGGCTGTTCTCACAGAAAGTGGTTGAGATTCTCAACCCAGAAGATGATTTCATCTGGATTCACGATTACCATCTGATGGTGCTGCCAACTTACTTGAGGAGGCGGTTTAACAGAATCCGGATGGGTTTTTTCCTTCACAGCCCGTTCCCTTCGTCTGAGATCTACAGGACCCTTCCTGTGAGGGAAGAGATACTCAAGGCATTGCTCAATACTGATCTCATTGGGTTCCATACTTTTGATTATGCTCGACATTTTCTTTCCTGTTGCTGTCGGATGCTGGGTCTCGAGTATCAGTCCAAGAGGGGATACCTTGCACTGGAATATTATGGAAGGACCATTGGTATCAAGATTATGCCAGTTGGGGTTCATATGGGTCGAATTCTTTCGGTAATGAAACAAACTGATAAGGAGTCTTGGATTTCTGAGCTGAAGAAGCGGTACCAAGGTAAAACTGTGTTGCTTGGTGTGGATGATATGGATGTCTTCAAAGGGATCAATCTGAAACTGTTGGCTATGGAGCAGATGCTCAGGCAGCACCCTATCTGGCAGGGAAAGGCTGTGTTGGTTCAAATAGTAAACCCTGCAAGAGGCAACGGGATTGATATGGAGGATATAAGAACTGAAATACAAGATAGCTGCAAGAGGATCAATGGCCTATTTCGAATGCCTGGTTATGAACCAATAGTGATTGTTGATACTCCAATCTCAGTGGGCGAGCGAGTTGCTTACCACAGCATTGCTGAATGTGTCGTTGTTACAGCAGTGAGAGATGGCATGAATCTCACACCGTATGAGTACATAGTCTGTAGACAAGGCAGTGATACATGTACTAACTTCCATGGGTTGAAGAAGAGCATGTTAGTGATATCAGAGTTCATCGGTTGTTCTCCATCGTTGAGCGGTGCAATTCGTATCAACCCTTGGAACGTCGAGGCAACAGGCGAGGCAATGAACCAAGCAATTTCAACTTCCGACTCCGAACAACAGTTGCGACATGAAAAGCATTATCGGTACATCAGCACTCATGATGTTGCTTATTGGTCGAGGAGTTTCTTGCATGACCTGAAGAGAAATTGTGCTGATCATAACAGAAAAATGTGCTGGGGGATAGGATTTGGGTTTGGTTTCAGAGTGATGGCTCTTGATCCCAATTTCAGAAAGCTGTCTGGAGCTGTTATTGTTTCGGCATACAAGATGGCAAAGAGTAGAGCAATACTGTTGGACTATGATGGTACTGTGATGCATCAAAACGCCATCAACAAATCGCCGACTCAGGAAGTGATCTCCATCCTCAACAGACTCTGCGATGACCCAAACAACACAGTTTTCATTGTCAGCGGCCGAGGGAGGGACAGCTTGGCTGAGTGGTTTTCTCCTTGTAAGAAGCTTGGTATTGCTGCCGAACACGGCTACTTCCTGAGGTCTTCTTCTTCCCTTACCAGTAGCTTTTTGTATGTTAAGCTGCGTATTTATCTATCTTCAGAAAACAAGAAGGCCAACCAATAGCATCAGCGTTAACTGCACTTGGTTCCATTCCATTATGCAGCGATTTCATTAGAGCTTTCAGGATAATTTTGCAGAATTGACAGTTTCGTGTAACGCCCTGCAGGTGGACGCAAGATGGAGGATGGCAAACCTGCGTACAGAGCAGTGAATTCGGGTGGATGCAGATTGCTAGGCCTGTGATGAAGTTGTATACAGAAGCTACAGATGGGTCTTCCATTGAGACCAAGGAAAGTGCTCTGGTCTGGCAATACCGGGATTCAGACCCTCGATTTGGATCAGCTCAGGCGAAGGAGCTGCTCGACCATCTGGAGAGTGTCTTGGCAAATGAACCTGTCGCTGTAAAGAGTGGTCAGTTCATTGTAGAAGTGAAGCCTCAGGTATATGCTTCTTCCACATTTACCTATATATGCTTCTGTAATTGCTAAACAAGTTGGTTGGTTGAATTATGATACAGGAAGTCAGCAAGGGGATAGTTGCAGATAAAATTTTCACGGCTCTTTCGGGAAAGGGGAAAAAGGCTGACTTCGTTCTGTGCATTGGAGACGATAGATCAGATGAAGACATGTTTGAAGCAATTGGGAATGCACTGGCAGGGAAAGTTCTCGCCTCAAATGCCTCAGTTTTTGCTTGCACGGTTGAACAGAAACCCAGCAAAGCCAAATACTATCTGGATGACATAGCTGAAGTTGTTAGCACCCTTGAATCTCTTGCTGATGTCTCCACTACTCTCCAGTAGACACACCCACCCACCCTTTTCCTCTCATCCCGAGAACCACACTGGGACTTCATAGCAAAGCTTTGTGGGACGGAATTTTTACTCTTTCTGAGTTTTGTCAGGTTACTTCTGAACTAGAATGAATTAGCATTTGAAGATAGTAGATAGAGAGAGAGAGGGAGAGAGATCTCTTGGCATTGTTACCCCCTTTTTCTGTTTTCCTTTCTTACGTTCATTTAGCAGTTTGTGTCGATTCTTCTTTTCCCAGAAGAGATTTTCAGAAAGAATTACGTGTATAGTTGGACAATTCATAACCTTAAGATGATATTTATTTTTATCCCCTTTTCTGAAGTGTTTCATTGTTTTTTTCTAGGAAACTCGATGATTTTGCCACCTTTTATGTTATGTTAGTTCCTGTATTTTATATTTTAGAGCGTAGGATGAAAGAAATCGATTAAGAGTCAATTTGTAAGAAATTTAAACTCAAGGGGAGTCAGAGATTGAAGCCAAGAAGTGAATGTGAAGTCTAGAGTTGTAACAATTGCCTTCTATCTTATAGCTAAAGGGAATCTATAAAACAAAAAATGGTATTTTTCAAGTCCATAATGAATCCAAAACCCTCATATATCCATGGTTTTACAAAACCTTCATTTTTCAAATTTACCTTTATTGCCCTCATTGGTATGATAAGATAATGAAATTAGGAGGGGTAGTTTGGTATTAAATGATGGATTTCAAAGTCCATGATCAATTCCCACCTAAATAGGCGGAACTTTTAAGTCCGTGGGGTCCATGGATTTGGATCCTTAAAGTTTATGGGACCTACGGATTTGTTGCCCTAAATGCATCAAACAAACAATAGATTTTGGACAAAATTCATGATGGATCCAAATCACTCACCAAATCCATCAAGCAAACAAGTCCTAAGCAAACAAGTCCTAAGGGAATTTGATATCAAAATGAATTTTCTCGCTCAAGAAATTAATTCTCTAGTAGATTAATCTCATACCCGAAATCCCAAATACATCTCCAGAAGAAAAAACGAATTTTCAGCCGATAGATTAATCTAGAATGGAGATTATAAATGGGCTCGGAGTACATGGTACATTGTTTTCATTTCACCGAAACACCCCATTTAGTATTAAACCGCCAGGCCCATTTGTCTTTGGCATGGTCATTGCCTATAGGAATTCTGGAAATAGCATCAACTTCTTACGGTGAGTAGTGTTGTCAAATTACACGATTACTGTAATCAATAATCATATATCTAGATCTAGTAGTGTCAATTCCACACCCTCCTCTTTAAAAGTACAAAAAAAAACCCTTTCTCCTCGTGGGGTTATTAGAAAAAAAAAAAGAATCAGGACTACTTCCTCACCAGTAATCACCACAAGAACATTTTCCATTCCTGAAATGGTGGAATCTACTACCATCCCTAACAACGATTTCACTGTTTCTAACCTCCGATATGCATCTGAAGGCAGCATGGCAATCTCCACAGATTCTCAAGTTCTTCATAATCCTTATCGGCATCCCAGGTGGAGTATGCATGAGAGCAAACGCAACTGCTAACTTCTCACTGTGGTGGGTCAAATTGTATTCTTTCTCCTCCACACCCATATCATGCAAAACAGAGGCTGTATCAGGCACATACCCTTTCTTCTTCTTTATCTCTGCAATCAGCTCTTTCAAGTACGACTCAATCTTCTCATATTCCGGATGGTACTTGTCGGACATACAGAACTGGTGAACCTGGTTTTTTATTTCCAACCAGCTCACACCAGGTTCCTTCTTCACGTTCTTATCCCTCATCGCCTTCCAAACTTCAGAAACATCCTTCCATCTCCCAGCAGAGGCATGAGCATTCGCGAGCAACACATATGATGATGAATCCTGCGGTTGAAGCCTCAGGACTTCTTCAGCAATCCGTTGGGCCATGTCAGCTTCCTTATTGATTTTACAGGCAGATAACAGTGTTTTCCAGATGGCAGCATCTGGTTTGACACGCATTGACCTTATCATGTCCTCAGCTTCACTCAGACACCCCGACCTACCTAGCAGATCAACCATACAAGTGTAGTGTTGCACGCTAGGTTTCAGGCCACATTGCTTTTCCATCATCTCAAATAATTCCATCCCCTTTTTCCTCAATCCACAATGGCTACACGCATAAAGCAAGCTCAAGAATGTCACTTCGTTTGCCTCCAAACCTCTACCTTGCATCTCTTCAAACAAATGTATGGCTTCCTCTCCTTGCCCGTGGAAGGCATACGCAGCAATCATCGAGCTCCACAACACATCATCCCCATTTTCGTGTTCGGAGAAAACTTTCAAAGAAGCTTCCAAACACCCGCACTTGGAATACATGCCGATCAATGAACTACTCACTGCAACATCAGAACAGGCACCAGATTTCAATGCTTCGGCATGAATCTGCTGACCCTGACCAAGAATTGCAATCTCAGAGCATGAACTGATTACACTAACAAAAGTGATCTTATCAGGTCTAGAACCTGACATTTTCATCATCTTGTAAAGTTGCAAGACTCCTTCTGAATAGCCATTTTGAGCTTTCCCAGCAATAAGAGTATTCCAAGCAACAACTGTGAGAATTGGCATGGCTTTGATTACCTTTTCTCCTTCATCCAAGCTTTTAGTTCTCATGTACATATGTGCCAAAGAGCTACAGACAACCAAGTTAAACTCAAACCCGCATTTCATCACATAACCATGAACCTGCCTCCCAGCATACAAAGCTCTCAACCCAGCACAGCCTCTGAGCACGCTAGCCAAAGCAAACTCGTCAGGCATGAAGCACGACTGGTGCATTTCCCGAAAGAAGGACAACCCATCTTCATTGCACTCGAACTGGATAGACCCAGTTACCATAGCATTCCAAGTGGCAATATTTTTCTCAGGCATTTCGTCAAACACCTTACGGGCATTCGTCAAATCACCAACGTGCACATATCCATTAATCAAAATGTTACCAGACATGACGTTCCTCCTGGCCAGGGCGTTGAACCAGGACAGTGCTGCTTGTAAGTCTCCAAGTTTGGAGTACAAATTGAGAAGGTGATTGGCGACAAACTTTTCTCGTCGATACCCAGAAGTGAGGACCAATGAATGAAGCTGGTTCCCAAGGAGCAGAGACTTGGCCTGAATGCATGAGAGAATGAGGTGAGAAAAGAGAGTTGGGTCTTTCCAAATCTCCGAATTAAATCTATGGAAAGCTTCTTTGATTTGTCCTCCATAGCAGAGGCTCGTGAATTCTTGAAGCGGAATCGGCGGGGGAGGCTTTGCCGGGTTTACAGTGGAAAAACTTTGGCGGAAGAAACGGAGATACGGAGATACGGGGCCGACCCATGCCATTAGTGACGCATTCCGTATAACCTTCTCTACATGTAGGCGGGTTAATAACCAAGTTTGTCAAAACGGTTCAACCGCTGACCAGGATAGCCAAGTGGTTTATGATTTAATGGATGGATCTTGTTTAAACTTTTTTTTTTCATAGATAGGTGTATGTCATCGGTTCGGTAGATGTACAATGCAGTATGCTTACAAATAAGTAGTAAAAAAATAAACTAATGCGGCAATCGATAGTTAATCAATCCGCCAATAAAAGAGTCTTTTTAGCCACTTAAAGGACAGCCCTATCAGTATTCTAAGAAATGCAACAAATGATATAAGCGGGTACACAACACGCGCCAAAGCCGGAGGATATATAATCTACTGACGGACACTCCATTAGCAGCTTCACCAAGTGAGCCCCCGGATCCGCCAGTGAAATAGTCAACGCAGTAAAACGTCTTGTTCTACATTCCGAAGCCCAACAGCCCACTAAATAGAGTATAAACTTCTAATGTCCTCTTGCCGAAGGACGTATCAGCAGCTTCGCTGCAAAATAGAAGAAAAAAAAACCAAAGGGCCCAGCCAGGCCTACCCAAATAACTAGGAAGACAAGCCCAAAATGGCTAAGGAGCCGGAAGCTGTCCAGATTCCTAGAGAGGCAAAGATTTTATCAACTATTATAACATATAATTTTGAACGGAAGCGAACTGTAGCTAAGGAGGAGATTCTCCCCTGCGGACGCGACTAGGTGAGTTCTTCTCTATTTTGTCTGCTTGTATTCAATATGAAAGGGACGCACACTATGCTTGGGTCTTCTTCACTATTTTATCTTCTTGTATTCAATATGAAAGGGACGTACACTATGCTTGGGTCTTCTTCACTATTTTATCTTCTTACAATATGAATGGGTATCATCACATAGCTGTCCATTTCCATTCCTATAAAATCGTTCATATCTTTGAAGGGGATTCTCACAATTTTCTTCCTTTCTCGAGTCGTTGGGTGCTCTTTCGTTCTTTTTTTTTCTACTTGTTTCTTCTACAGTTGCATAATTGTTCATGGGATGGTCATTTCATGGAATTCATTGTTATTATCCCCAACCATTTCATGTGGTTTATCAGGAGCTGTAGCCTTCCTTTTTGAGTCATGACGCGACTGGTTGGGTAGGTTGAGGCTGTTGCTGTTGCTGTGGAGCTGATGCACACAATACTGTTGCTGCCATTTTTTTCACCGCCACCGCCAGGTTTACCGAAAGACAATGTTGTTGATGAATTGTTGGTGTCGTCTGTGGCAACAGCCACCACGATGGTGATTGGGCTGGGGGAGGTGGATGCGCGAGCGACGAAAGCGGCGGAGGTGTTGGCCGTGGTGACGCACTAGCATGAAGGGCACATGGTGACGGTGGTAGCATGGAGCTGCATGTAGAAAGGCTGAGGCACGTCTCGACGTGACCGGTACCTGACGACGGAGTTTAGCTGGTCGGAGTGCTTCATCACCAGGTCCTCGTTGACCACTCTTCTACAGATTGGCGAAGAGTTCGCTTTCTTCGCCGAACTCGCGCAATTTTGTTGCCTGTTTATTCATTGCCAAATAAAGTCCACTGTATCATTCAAAAAATATGCTCATACTTCTTGTGCTATGGTGAATGTACATGAAAGTTGTTGTCACTTTCGATTACCTAAATCAAGATTCAGCCACAAACTAAATATTACAGTAGCTGGATAAATATGCTAAATATTCTGGGTACTTACTCAAATCAAATTTTTAGCCAGCTACTTAGAACCTGCATGAATCGCGATCAACATCCAATTCATTGTTCAAAAAAACTCAGAAACGCTTTGGCTAAAATTTGCATGCAAAAGAGAACAACAAATCGAACTTAGAGCAAAGAATCATACGGACAATTTCCAATTTCCAACCGCCACCGATCTCCTTCCAGGGAAGCTTGAATCTAAAGGAACACCCAGGCACAGAGCGTCGACGATGGATTGTGACCCTGTGATATTTGGAGGTAGCGACCGAAGCGAAAATCAACTAAGAAATTGATTCGGATAAGAACAACCGTTCTGGTCTTTGTCGTGATGTCATGTTTGCGTGACCTCTCGATCAGATTATGATTTCTTGTCCTTCATTTCTTTCCTATTTTTCGTTTTCTGTTCTTTTGTTCGCTCTTCCCTGGCCTGTTGAGGTTAATTACTCTTGTCGATCTCTTTGTGTTTTGTTTCATTTTTACTATTTTTCCTTCCAGGTTGATAAGATCATGTCTCCTAATCTCTGTTTGTTCTTGTCAGACTTTCTTTTTGGCCCAAACATCTCTTGTAGTGAGTGACATATGAAATTGAGGTAATGATATATGTATGTATGTATTAAGATTGGTATAAATTTTGATCCCTGACTTGAGAGTAAAACTCTTAGCAATTATAACAGATTACTTTTGTCACTAAAAGGAGATATAATAAAATGAATTAATATCAATAATTTCTTTTGTTTGGCCCATGTACAAGGTTACTGGACACAATTATTTTATTCGAAAGAAAATCGTGAACTGTACAAAAAGATTAGTTAAATCCAACAAGAATAAGGGGATGATTGCACCGATTTGGTTATTATAAATTCAAGGCATGAAGATGTATAGTAGGTATCGTTCGTCAAATAATAGTTAGTAAAAGAAAGCAGAAGCGACTGTGCAGAAGAAATCGATGTAACATAAACTCTAAACTATGGTTATAACTTTTTTGTTACTATAAGAAACAAATGCCATCAGAATGTAGGTATTTTCACCTATACATCTACGACAGCAAGTGGATGGACAATCTTCAATCTATAGATGGGCAGGGCAACAACCACCCAGTAAATCAATGGTTACAGACCAAAATGGTCAAAAAGTCTTGATCGGTCAGACCAATCGAAATGTGAAACCATGCATCACATCTTCTTTCTGCTTGAATTCTCGAACTTGGGCCTTGGGGTACTAGGTGAGTTCTTCTCTATTTTGTCTGCTTGTATTCAATATGAAAGGGACGTACACTATGCTTGGGTCTTCTTCTCTATTTTATCTTCTTGTATTCAATATGAAATGGACGTACACTATTATTGGGTTCCTATAGTCAGTGTGCACTATTGTTTTCCCGTATATGCATTGTAGGAGGCTTTTGATGTCGCCTAGGTGAGCTCTTTTTTGTTTTATCTGCTTGTACTCAATGCGAAAAAGACATATACTATGCTCGGGTCCCTATGGTTGGTGTATGTTATTGATGTACAATACAAGTATTATTAGATACGTGTAATGCCATTGCATGTGCTTGTACCACCAAATAGCTGTCCATTTTCATTCCTATAAAACGCTCCCATCTTTAAAGAGGATTCTCACAATTTTCTTTCTTCCTCGAGACGGTATGTTCTCTTTTATTCAATATGAAAGGGACGTACACTATGCTTGGGTCTTCTTCTCTATTTTATCTTCTTGTATTCAATATGAAAGGGACGTACACTATGCTTGGGTCTTCTTCCCTATTTTATCTTCTTGTATTCAATATGAAAGGGACGTACACTATGATTGGGTCTTCTTCCCTATTTTATCTTCTTGTATTCAATATGAAATGGACGTACACTATTATTGGGTTCCTATAGTCAGTGTGCACTGTTGTTTTCCCGTACATATATCTATTCGACATGAAAGGGACGTGCACTATGCGGTATGAAATGGACGTACACTATTATTGGGTTCTTATAGTCAGTGTGCACTGTTGTTTTCCCGTACATGTATCTATTCGATATGAAAGGGACGTGCACTACGCCTTGGTCGTTCGTCTCTATTTTGTCTTCTTGTATTCAATATGAAAGGGACGTGCAACATGGTTGGGTCTCTATAGTCGTTGTGCACTATTGTTTTCCCGTGCATGCATTGTATGAGGCTTTTGATGTCGTCTAGGTGAGCTCTTTTTTGTTTTATCTGCTTGTACTCAATGCGAAAAAGACATATACTATGCTCGGGTCCCTATGATTGGTGTATGCCGTTGATGTACAATACAAGTATTATTAGATACGTGTAATGCCATTCCATGTGCTTGTACCACAAATAGCTATCCATTTTCATTCCTATAAAACGCTCTTATCTTTAAAGAGGATTCTCACAATTTTCTTTCTTCCTCGAAACGGTATGTGCTCTTTAATTCATATTTTTTTTATTTGTCCTTTCTACAGTTTCATGTGGAGTTAATCCAAGCAAAATGACCCATAAAATATGTGGTTAGAGAATCAGAATCAATAGATCTGATTTATGTTGATATGGGTAAACTTGATGGAAAAGACCATTTATTGCTCTTTAGAGTGCTCTGATTGTCTAACTAGTTATTCGAAATAGTTTGAAATGCCTAGTTGCATTATGATTGCACTGATTATTCGATATGTGGCATGCATGTGGTAGCGTTAGAGAATCAGTGACATGATAACTAGAAGAGCATATGAGTGTGTAAGTTATTGTAAAACACATAAGCCTATGAAACGAAATACTCATTAGTTTGTGAAAACCATTGATGCCAATAGATTCCATTTATATTAAGAAATAGTGGGGGTGATATCCTGCCTACTATTAGAAATAATGGATAACTAGTGGGGGTGATGAATCTGAGTATGAACTCAGAAGAGACAAATGAACCATAAATCACGAAAGGATTTTGGTTATGAATTTTTTATTTACACCCTAAGAAAGAAAGATCCTACAAGTCTGCTAGAAGTTCGAACTTCCATAAAGATGCAGAATTGTGGGAGAATCCATTATTAACGAAATGGAATTATTGGAGTCTAAACTTAAAATCTTGTAGAGTTACCTCTTGGTTGAAAAGCCTTGGATAATATATCGATAGAATCGAACAAGATTTGGCATCTTTGAGAATTACCTCTCGGCAATGAAGTCATGGGTAATAAATGGATTCTTAAAAGAAAAGTGAAACCTATTGGTTTAGTTTATGAGTATAAGGATCGCCTAATAGCTAAGGCTTTAAGCGAAAAGGAAAAATTGT